TTTGGTCAAAGAGAATCAGCTATATCTTATGCAACTCATATAAAACCTCCAACAAGTTTGTAATCCAGCATTCCAATAACAGGCAAGTCTAGTGGTGAGGTAGCTTCAGCTAAGTCCTTGAACAGGAATGGTCTGTGAGGCAAGAGAGTATTAGACTTCTCTCCCCTTGAGGAGAGGATGCCCTTGTGAACTTTTAAAGATCAGAAGATGTGGGCTTCCCTTGGGTTTCAGTGGAAAAGTCCCAATAATGCAGTGGCCAACAGTAGTAGTTGCATCAAGAGCTAATGGCAAACTAGACATACCAAGGAAAGGTAACTTTGAGACTCTACACAGGCACTGAACCTTGGAGTTCATCAAAAAGCTACACACACCAAAGTAGAACTTCATGAACACTTTCCAAATGGGGAAAAAGACTTCCATAAATCAGGATCTGTGAGCTACCCTTTTACTTGTTGCATTCTCTAAACTTGAGACCATTCTCTCCTAGGATCAAGTGTGTGCAAGGATAGAGTGTATACTAGATTTGGAGAGCATTTCTATCTACCAATTGTGCTTACTATACCAAAGTAGCAAATACTTCTTTCTAAAACCTTATTAACTTTGATTGACTAAATGACATCCACTGTTGAATTGATACTAGAGAAAACACCAGATGGAGCCTTATGAGTAATAGGGTTATCCGCAGAACCCTTTGGGAAGGAATAGTAGCTACCTTCTAGGGATCCAACCTGATAGCGCTAGTGGAAGTTGCAGGAAGTAGGCCAGGAAGGGGTATTATAAATGAAACATTACCAAAAAAAACGTTTCCTAAATTATTATTTGTTCTAGGTCTCCTTAGCAAATGTTTCAATTTGATCAGGTATATTATGTATGTTCCCAGGGATGGGTAAGTGAGAGGAGGGAAGAAAGGCTCCTGACATTTCACTTTTATCAAGTGAAATTTTATCAAGTCAAGTTTTTGTATGCTTTTGAAAATAAAGTTTCTGTTACATTGGAGGAAAAGAAAAAAAGTGAGGTATCAGAAAGTATTAGAAAATTATAGTAGGTTGGCCACATTAGGGAACCTGATTATAGCCCTCAGAGGGTCTACAATGATAGAAGTTAGTTGTCAATTTGGAAGAGTAACTTGGTTTTAAGTGAGATTTAAGTAAGAAGTAGAATGAAGAAGGCTCCTGGGCTTCTGAGCAGCAGTGGAATGAGCAATTGTATACTCTTAAGACAAAGTCCAGATTTCCTCTGACTCACTAGTCTGGTCATGATGATTTAATGGTGTTTCAAGGCACCTAGTTTGGAAAGTACTGAATTAAGAGAATTAACTTTCAACTAAGATACAAAAGATAGTAAATTGTTATTGTAGGCTTTTGCTACATGTTGCTATTCAAACAACTATCCCCCCTCATATTAACTGCTCAATTTAAATTAAAATTTGTTACGAATTACTTATAAGATACCATGTGAAATGGCAGTCAAAAATGCCAATGTAATTGCCATGATTCTGTGTCTGGAGTATTATCTTCAATTTTAGACACAGAATTTTTTGGAAGAAGATAGATAACCTTGAGGGCAACCAAAAAAGGACAGATAGAATGGTGAAGATACTGTTGTTGTTGTTGTTTGTCCTTTGTTTTTGAAGAGGACCATTGACATCACAGGGTTATGTTTTGATTTACAAGTGAATTGGATTTAAAGGAGGCACAGTTGCACAAAGTTGCTCTCCCTGAGTCATCAAAGTCCAATGGCAAGACAAAAGCCAAGGCAACTGGTGATGGACTGGGAAGTAGTGGATGACTTTGACATCTCAGATGCCTGACCAAGCTCTAAGTGTTGCACAGTGCATGCATCAGCCATCTTCATAGCTGTTGGCACAAATTGTTCTCATCTATCCACTCTACCAGGGAAAGTCTTCATATGCTTGGAGTAGACATCCCCCTAAGTCATAGGCAGGTTTCAGGCCTGTCAGTTACTCTCATCCTGGTTTAGCTAGTCTGTTGAGATGGTTTACCAGTGTGTGGCAGTTTTGCGGGCTACAGCTTTTTGGAGTCATAGATGAGAATTGGGTGAGTGAGGTAGAGACCGAAAGTGGATAAGTGGTCCTGAAAAGGGTTTGCAAGCCCTCACACTAGAGATGCTAGTCCTTCTGAATATCAATATGAGGACTGGTGACCAAAAATAAAAACAAACATAAAAAATGAGGGAAAAATTGAAGAAGAGATGACTCATGAGGGTTGTGGCACTTATCCATAATAGTTTAGAGAACTATCATGAGGAAGTGGGATTAGACTTGTTCTCCCCCTGAGGGCAAAACTAGAAATGATTGCTGAAAGTCTAGGTCAGGGGTGGGAAGAATGTAAATATAATATTATTATAAGGAGGAGAAAAAAATACTTCCTAACAATTTGAGATATCCAAAAGTGGAACAGGCTGCTTTAGGACATAGTGGATTTCACAATAGGTCTTTTAGAAAAGGCTGGATGAACCACTTGTAAGTTTTGTTATAGAAAGATTCTTTATGGGTTTGACTGAATTCACTCCCAACTTTGAAATAGTGTGTTTCTTTTTTTTCCACTAAATTGACTGAATAAATGAGTCATCTCGGTAGCATATAAATAGGACATTAGAATAAAAAGAAGCACATAGGAAAAATAGGGCACTATGATTACAGTAATGCTTGGCACATTGAAGATAATGCAATATAGATTGCTTTCTTGGTTCTTCAAGTGGCATAACATAGACACTTAATATAGGCATGATAGGGTAGAGGCCTTAGGATCTCTGCTACAGAGGCAAATTGAGCTGTATAACTTTATTCAAATACCTGGAATCCTTCCTCAAAGTATTTCATGGGTGACATAAAGGCTGCATAACTACATATCAATTTTCTCAACTCCCCATAAAAAATTAAAATAGGGCTGACCATATAATATAATGTATGTGATAGATTACATTTATACAATCTCCATATAATATTATATATAACATATAACTACATAATATGTATAATACAATGTTATATTCTTTTACAAATTATCAAAATTATATATTCCATTTCATAGGGTCATAGATTCAGAGTCAAAAGGGATCTTAGAAATCATTAAGTACTTACTTTGTTTCTGAGCTTTTCATAGTTTTAGGTGTACTAGTGTTATCTTAATAATCTACATCAGCAAAGTCTAAGTTCGAAGTAAAGAAAATTTTTCTAAATAAAAATAAACTATGTAAATATTTAGAAGTCTATATAATGAAATTATAAAGTACGCTTTCAACTTTAACATGAATTATCTTGGTTGTCCATATAACTGTTTTGAGTATGGTGCATAGAAAAGAAGTACATGAAATAGTTCTTAGCCTCAAATAGCTTAAAACTTTCTTGTGGGAACAAGATGAACACATCAAAAAGCTACAAAACAATGACACAAGATACAGATAAATGTTTACTGTATGGGACTAACTGAAAGTACAGTATAATAGTGGTGTCAAACCCAAATAGAAATGGGGGGCCACATATAAAGATGCTTGCAGGCTACATATTGACTCAGAAAACTATGTATTGACATTACCTATGTTGTATCGTATTTTATTTATTTTGTTAATTATTTCCCATTATGTTTTAATCTGGTTTGGACTGTACATGGGACTGTTGCCAACTCTTTTCAACCCCTCTGCAATAGAAGTTTAGAGAAGGATGCAGTCAGTGTGAACTTAGGAAGTCAAGAATGTCTTCATGGAGATCAGACTTCAGCTGAGCATTAAGAGATGGAAAGAATGTGAAAAGTGAAGACATTCTATATAGCAAAAACAGCATAAGCAAAGGCCGGGAGATAGAAATGACAATGCCATTGTAGAATAATGGAAGATAAGATTGGATAGGTTAGGTGAGGTCAGATCATAGGAGACTTTAAAAGCTAGGAAGGGGAATTTGGGTTTACTACTTGGCAATTATCATTCCCAAGCACTGGAGTAACAGAAACAAACAAACAAAAATAACACGATAATTTCTATCATTGTCAATTCATGATACCCAGCTGGCATAAATTTGCACTTCCTGATCAAGTTTCATCTTGCTTAAACTAGTATATTTTATCATACCTATGATGCTGCCATTTCTTGTCATGACTAAAAGGACAGGAAAAAATCATTTAATCTGGCTTGAACTGTTAGTATAAATCAAATTTACTAGTCATATAAATCTTTCTATTTGATGGCTGTTTGGATATTAATCCCACATTACCACTGATTGGTTTCTAAGAATGTTAAGACTTGGGCATTAGGTTTTTGTAGTAGGTAGAAAGTACTGACAACCAACGGCAGAAGAGATGTTCCTTTGTCTTCAAATGAAAATTGCTTTTCCAAATGATGGTATAGGCATAAGTGATAATTATTGTGTGAGCTCATTTAAAATGTATAATTATAAGAGAGGTAAAAATATCTAGCTTATCAACATTAATTTAATTTTCTTGTTACTGAAAATGTGTCTTGCTGGGGGAAAAATCATTTAATGTCATTAGGAAGATTAGTAAAGAAAAAGTGCTTCTTCAGGATGAAAACAAACCAGATCAAGGTTAAAACATAATTTTAGTGGGAAAATATTGGGGAAAATGTGCTATTGACACTGAAATAAATCTGTAGGAAATGAAAGCAAAACTGAAGTTCATTTCCTGCTATTCACTTGCCCTTACCTGCACATTTTCCCAAAGCCTGACATTGAAAAGACTGCTATTTTAATTCATTTTGTACAAATTTAAAGATTTCAGTTAACATATAAACTTAAATTATTAATCAACAGAGGCAGCACACAAATTAAAGTATTCACATCAATGAAACCTAACAAAATAAAAATCTGTGTCTAAATTAACATTGGCTCATCTATTATACAGTAATTGTTAAATAACTGTAAAATACATTGCATACTGTTAATTAGTGTCCCAATTAGAATATCCTTTTCCATTCAACTGTTATGCACATCAATACTTTTCTAAAAGGAATTGGATATAATTACTTACCAAAATGGTAGTAACAATCAAAGAACGATTGGATAAAGAATCTGTAATGTTGGCAGGTTTTCCCTTTTGACTTTCCGTCATGTTCAGGCCGCTGGCTGGATCCCAAGTTCCAATCTGTAAAAAAGCATATGTACTTTATCAATCATCCATCAGGCACCTAGGAGAGAGTACCGTCAGAGAAAAGTTAAGACTGCCAACACTTATTATTCACCTCTGCTACATTATCTGCTGTCGTTATATTAAAGTCTGCTTGTTTAAAACATGATTCACTGTACTGTGAAGTGTGTCTGTTGAAGTGTGACATTAAGGAACAAAATGATCCCCTGAATTTCTAGAGCCAGTCTAAGTACTCAAGTTTCCATTTCAAACTTTCATTCACTAAGATAAACCACATTGGATGATATTTTGAGAGTAAGATAGAAACTCATTAGTAGCATATATCCTTTATTGTAACTAAATATGTTCCAATCTCATTCAAATACATTATGTAGGAAAATGTAGAACAAAATGAAAACACGGGGCAGAATATAGTTATCTACAGAATTAGATTTCAGAAGGACCTTAGAATGCCTTCCTTGTTTAACATCCTAGACAAATAATATTATGTCTTATTTTGAAAGGACCTTCAAGGAAGAGAAAACAGTATAAAAATTTCTTCAGTTCCTCAACCCCTTTTGCCTACCTAATCCCATGTGATATTTTAAGCAATTTTTTCTTGGGGTTAGATTGGGGGCACATTCCACCCAATGTCTACACCTATCTTCTTTAGCCCCCAAAGCCTCCTGTCTTCAAACTTTGCTAAGAACACCAATGTCCTCCCAGTCACTCAGCCTCATAATCTTAGTATTATCCTCAACTCTTCATTTGGACTCATCCCATTTGTTTAATCTGTTGCCAAGTCTTGTTTCTACCTTCACAATCTCTCTTATATATATTACCTTGTCTCTATCACACAGATGCCACCCTAGTACAGTCCCTCATTACTCTATGTCTGGATTATTGTAGGTGTCCCAGCCTATAGTGCATTTTCCACTCAGCTATGAAGAGGATCTTCCTCAGGTCTGACCATGTCACCCTTCTACTCCATAAAGTCTAACAGATCCCTATTACCTGGCTTAACTGGTTTCTTTGAAAATTCAAATTAAATCCCATATTCTTCCAGAGACCTTTCTCAGCTCCCTCCCTCACCCACAAGTTGCCATCTGAGACTGCTTCCTTACAGCATATCTTATATGCACAGTTATGTGCATGTTGTCTACCCCATAAAAATATGAAATCCTTGAAGGAAAGATTATGTTTATGCTTTTCTTACATTCTATTTAGCACAGTGCCTAGGCACTTAAGTGCTTAATAAATGCTTATTGATTGAATGACTGGTATGTTTGTCTTATATGCAGATTAAGAGCAATGAAATATTTTTATAATTATATAGTAGTGAAAAAACAATGGTACCATACCAACTAGCATTATTGGCAATTCTATATGTAGGTATTTATTATTTTTAAAAAATAATGACCACCAAAACTAAAGAAGAATGATTAAGAGAAGAGTGAATATGACAGGAAAAAAATTGAAATGATTTCTTCACCTCACCACCAACCCCATCGCCCAACACTATGTGCTTGCTGGATAATTGTCTAGCTTGTTTTCTACAATAGAGATGAAAAACAAGTAACTCTTTTATGCAAAAGATACCTTCATGGACCTAACAAAGCAGACTCATAGACTGTTAGAACTGGAAGGAAACTTAGATATCTTATAGTCTAATGCCTAATCATTTTCTTGATTGAAAAAAAAAAAAACAAACAGTCTTAGTGAGGTTAAGTGACCTATACAAAATACTACAAATAATAAGCGATGGTATATTTTCTCTTCTTCCTCTATACTATTTCACTTGGTGATCTCAACAGCTCCCATGGATTCAATTATCATCTCTATGCTGATGATTCTCAAATCTTTTTTGTTGTTCTGTCATTTTTCTGTCATGTCTGACACTTCATGACCCCATTTCTAATTTCCTGGCACAGATACTAGAGTGGTTTGCCATTTCCTTCTCCAGCTCATTTTATAGATGAGGAAACTGAGGTGAACAGGGTTGAGACTTGCCCAGGATCACACAGCTAGTAAATGTCTGAGGCCAGATTTGTACTTAGGAAGTTGAGTCTTCCTGACACCAGGCTCAGTGCTCTATCTACTGCACCACCTAGCTGCAAATCTTATCCATCTTTCATTTCTCTGCTAACTTCCAGTCTCACATCTCCTACTGCCTAATGGATATCTTAAACTAGATACCCCTGTAGACATTTTAAACTCAGCATGTACAAAACTGAACATCTTTCCCCAAAAACTCTTCCCCCTTCCAACTTCCCTATTACCATCAAGGTTACCATAAAAGCCCAGTCACTCAGGCTTACAACCTTGGAGCATCAGCTCTTCACATTCTCTCACCCCCTTTTACCCAATCTGTTAATTTTACCTTCATAACATCTTTCACATACCCCTTATCTCTTTGCACACCACAACCTCCCTGGTACAGGTCCTCACTGCTTTATGCCTGGACTAACGCAATAGCCTACTCGTTTATCAGTCTGCCACAATTCTCTCCCAATTCCAGTCCATCCTCCATTCAACTGCCAAAGTGATCTTCCTAAAGTGCATGCCTGACTTTGTCACTCCCACTCAATAAGTTACTCCCTATCACCTACAAGATTAAAAAAAAAAAAACATCCTCTATTTGGATAACGTGCCTCACCTCTTGCCATCCCAGTATTCTTACTCTTGACACTCCATCCCTCATGTACTCTGTGATCCAGTGACATTGGACATCTTGCTGTTCCTCAAACAAAACTATCTTCTATATGTTGGTATTTTCCTTGGCTGCACCTCCCCCATACCTGAAATGTTCTTCCCCCCTTATTTCCACCTCCTGGTTTCCCTGGCTTGCTTCAAGTCTCAGCTAATTATTTCCAATTTCTCCTGTAGATGGTTTGTTTGTATATCACTTGCCTGTGAGTTTCTTGAGAGCAAGAACTGTCCTTTGCCTTTCTTTATATAACCAATGCTTAGCACTATGCCTAGCATATAGTAGAAACTTAATAACTGTTTAATGACTGATGGACTGACTATATCACACTGCTTTTCTAGTCACTGACTTCCTTCACAATTCACTTTTCCAGATAATTCCTTTCATATTTCCTCATAGGCCAGTTTCTTAATCCATTTATTCACTTTTATTACTTTCTCCTCAAACTGATTTACTCTCTCTAAGCTCCAGAAATCCTTCTTTAGTTGCAGAATACAGGAACACATATGCAGCCATACTAAGAGTCTGAGCAGGACAGTGGAGGAACACTGGGATTCCTATAAAGCAAATGCACTTATTTGTTTGCTGATACTACAGGAATTTTTTTTAAAGCAACAGATTGATTTTCCTGTGAACACTATCAATTCTCAGTTTACAATGATGCTGTCACATTCACACATACCTTCTCATAAGGAAAAAATTAAGGCTTACATCAACCACGAAAAAATGAGTCAATTAACAAAAACGAAAGTCAGTTGATTCAGTGAAAAACACCCAGATGTGTTTTTTTTTCTGTCGTGTAAACCATACCAGTTGATTAAATTTTCCTTTTAAAAACTCATTATTTTGAAGTCCAATATGTATAATCTAAAAATTATACCTGTCCTTTATTTGTTACTATAGCCCTTCATTTCTTTATTTCTAAGCATTGGAATGATGTCTATGGTCCTCTGAATTTTAATATGCCATCTGTACTTTCCTATTATTATATTGGTATCATCCACAAATTTAAGGATTATATTTTCTAATTTATTAACCACATTTATCTCATTACATAAAATGCTAAATATTAGTTCAAAGTAGATTTTTGCAAATTACTTTCTATGTTCACAACATTTTGGTTATAATGGTGCAATCAACTTTTCTCTCAACCAAGTAATTATGGACTTCTTGCACCAAGAATACATTAACTAAGATAGATAGATAGACAGACAGATAGAGAAATTTACATATATACACATATGTATATACACTCATACATACATATTGACCTACGTGACTGAAAGGTCTTCCCTTTTCTCTTCAGTTAACATTGGCTTTTCAGTTAACATTGCATGTACCCTGCATTTTCCTATGACCTCACTAAAATCTATTTCTTTGACTGAATCTTTGCATGAATCTTAAAATACAAATGTTGTGGGTAGGTAATTTTTTCCTTATTAATAATGCACCTTGGGGCAGCTAGGTGGCACAGTGGATACAGCACTGGCCCTGAAGTCAGGAGGACTGGAGTTCAAATCTGGCCTCAGACCATACACTTGACACTTACTAGCTGTGTGACCCTGGGCAAGTCACTTAACCCCAATTGCCTAAAGAAAAAAAAAATAATGCACCTAAAACTGTTTTCCTATTTTCCTCCTCATATTTTTCAAGTTGTACTGCTATACTTGTCTCCTTTTCAAAATAATAAACAATATGTCTTCACTGTATATGTATACTTTTTAAATCTGCAATTTTTTTTTCTGACAGTAGTTTTTACATGTTTTTCTTCAATTGCTTTTCTGCAGTGGTTTTTCCATGAATATTCTAACCTATTTTCTCCCAACCCCAGATAGGTATATAAGCATCCAACCCCTGGTTTTGCTCACTCTAGGCTGATGTCCCAATTTACTCTGCATTTTAAATATTGAGATTTTTAAAAACCCAGCTTTAATCACATCATTCCATGGTCAAAAATGTCCACTACTTTCTAAGTCCAGATTCCTTTAACTTACCTTTAACTTATTCCTTTAACTTATATATTCTCTATAACTTACTTTTCCAGCTTTAGTTTCTGATAACTACATATATATATATATATACATGTCTATATCAGAACAGATATATTATATAATAGTTTACATGAGTTTTTATTTTATATATTTATATTATGTTGTATATTACATTATATATAATTTATACAATATAATTATATATTTAATATGTTGTCCAATGATATAATATGTGAATATATTATGTATTAGATTATTATTTTTATTATTATTTGAAGAACATACACTAATATATTATAAGCTGAGGAAGAGCTCCTATA